GGGGGGGGGTGTAATGAACCCAGTCTGGCAGATACTCAGAAGTCGTCAAACATCAGTAGTCTCATTATCTGCATCAAAGTCTCCAAATCGTGAAGTGAAGTCTCAAACAGTATCTCATTATCATCCAAAGAAGAGAGTGGAGGGGATCAGACAAAGGAGAAGATGAAAGGTCACACAGTAATAACCCCTTCAGACCCCTCTCCTTCTCTGGGCTTCTTCCCTCTCCACGTCAACAATGATAATAAGTAAATTCCTGTTCACACACAACAGTGCCACGTGGCACTTAAACTCGTGAAGACCATGAAGACATAGCAGATTCCAGTGACGACGTCAATCTCAGGTGAGTACCCGACCTCCATCCACAGATCCCGATCTTCCTCCTCCACGCAACCAGTCACCACATGTAGACAGCGTGGACCGTGCCATGCCAGCAGTCGAGATAGGTGGCGTATGCCACATCATCAATGAAGACCAGTGGCAGCGCCTCGTCAGCATGCAATGTAGGCCAGAGGCAGCGCCACATCAGCATGCAATGTAGACCAGGGATAGCGCCACATCAGCATGCAATGTAGACCAGAGGTAGCACCACATCAGCATGCAATGTAGACCAGAGGTAGCGCCACATCGGCATGCCATGAAGACCAGAGGCAGCGCCACATCAGCATGCCATGAAGACTAGAGGCAGCGCCACATCAGCATGCCATGAAGACCAGAGACAGCTCCACATCAGCATTGCCTGGCGCACAGAAGAAGTGCCAGCACGCTGCCTCCACCTTGTGCTGTCGTCCGCAACGCCTGTGCACAGCCAGCAAGTAGCCAGCGTCGCACCAGCATAAAGCCAGCGTCTAGTCAAAGTCGAGCCAGCGTCAAAGCAGCATAGCAAGACTGAATCCTTGAATACCTCGAGGCCAGCCTTAAGTAACAGTTGTCGAGGCTGTCTGGCCTCGGGTGCTTTTCCCACAGTCGTCCAGATTGACTCACAGCTGAGGGGCCAGATTGTACAGTTGGAGACTTCTCCCTTGGACCTGATGCTGTATGGGTACCTGCATACAAATAAGTGTGTGTGCTTGACCAGTGGGCTGGGCTAGGTACCTTTGGACTTTGACTGTTGGGGTCACGACAGTATAGGCCCTGAGTCTTTGTTCGGGGTCCTTTTTGTCCCCTTTTTGGCCTGGGCTGAGGGCGGCCGAGTTGGCCTTCAGTCTTTCCTTGAGACATATGGCATGGGTTATTGCAGGTGTACTGATGTGTTTTTTTTTTTTGCGGGGGGGATGGGGTTGTTGATGCGGTTATTGGGGGTTCTGGACCCAAAAAAAAAAAAAAATCCTTTTCTTGCAGGGTGCCGACAGACGGCCTACTGGTAGGTCCCGACCAGTGGAACGGTCGGCTGGTTGGCCCCCGACCAATCCACGTGTGCCGACTGTCAGAGTCACTACTGTACCTATTGTTTGCGTATGTAATGTTGCTGACTGCCGAATTTGCCTACTTGTGGACTTTAACTGGTGTGAGGAATGAGCCCTCACGAGGCCCTTCTCGAGCATGCAAATGTTCTGGGCTGCGGCCCCCAGCCAGCCTCGTGCCCTCCCTAAGTGAAGGCGGGCCTGTACTTCCCTGAGAAGTCTATTTTCGACATTTTTTTTAATGTGGGGGATCAGATAGTTGCCGCACGCCAGGTGGTTACAGAGCAACGTGACCCTTCTGTGGCTCCTTCCAGAATCAACAGCCGCGCTGTACAGTTGAGCCCAGGGCTCAGGTGGCTGCGCCCTGGGCACACGCAGTGGGAGGCAGACACATCACGCAGTGGCCGTGGACCAATGGGAACGCAGCATCGTCGTCACACATTTACCACAAGCCAATGCAAATGTGGCAAACACTTGGAGCCTGGAGGCTACCAGTACGTGCCTAACTGAACGAGGCCCAGGCCAATATCTGAGATTGGGCCTGGGCGCAGGCACCGAGGACCAGCCTGAAGCTACTGGTCCCCTACACGCCTGGCTCAGACCAGCCAGCAGCTGGGCGAACTTTCCATAAAGGATAGTGTGCACCCCTGGGCAGGGTATTCTGGCCTGAGCAGGCAATGCGGCCACGCTGGTGCTTCGCCTTGCGATACGGCGCTGAGGAGGCAGGCCCGGGCGCACGCTGGTGCGAGAGGTGAGAGGGCGCTGCGGTGGCAGCGGGCGCACGGCGGCCATAGCCTGGCTGAGCGTGCGGTAGTAGGTGATAGCGATGGTGGTCGTCAGGTAGGAGGCGCATGCAGAGGGCAGTCAGGGTGTGATGAGGGGAGGAGAGAGAACGTACCTGCTGTATGCTGGCGGTCTGCATTGGTGATGAGGTCACCTACGTTGGTCTTCAACTTCGATGTGATTCAGTTGCATGAACAGAAAATAGATAGGTGTAGATAGGCTGAGTAGCGTAGGCTGGGCGCTGGGCGCCAGACAGTAATGGCGACATTGGATACTGTGTTGGTGTGGCCAGAGAGCGTCGACATTGACATACGAGTTCATTGTATTGCTCTTATTTGGATGGTATCTCGGTGCATTGTGTCTCTGCTTGGTACATGACTATCTGGGCTACTTTGTGATTTTGCAATTTGGATTTCTGTCCATCGCTCTCGCTCATATTCCTTGCACAGGTGAAACATCCAGGTTATTGCTTCCATGCAGTTGTCTGTGTTTTTTTTTTTTTTTTTTTTGTGTGTGTGTAGCCGTTTCCTTGCCCTGATATGCTTCTTGTTCTGTTTTTTTCTTTCTTTCTTTTTCTTTTCTCATTCTTTTATTCTTTGCCTTGTTTCAGTCGGTTGCATACACTGCAGCTCCAGCGTTCATCATTGCTGTTCTCTGGGCGCTCCTGGCGGTCGTGTACCTGTTCGCAATAATCTGTTACTGCTGCTGTTGTAAAAGAAATCGACATGCAAAGTTCTATGAATCCTCAGCATATTGTTGGCCACTTGTACTTGTTGTGCTGCTCACTTTCACGGCATTGTAAGTTATGAACTCATATACAACCTTTTTGTCTCACCTTTCCTGGATTCACAATAAAACAAATGAGTTGAGCTTTGAAATGAGTAGAAGCAAGCAACACTGATTACCAGTGTGCTGTGCGTGGAAATTAAGAGAATGACCTTGAATGATTGGCTGTAAAGATAGCAACTATGTTTCATGCTCAAGACATCCTCCTCTTGTCATTTCTCCCCCTCCTCCCCTCCTTTCCTCATTTTCCTTGGGCCATGTTTGCGCCTCCCCAAGTCATTCCTGGGAGTCCTGTACGCTTTTTCGGCGATGTCCCTTGCCCATCTGGTCCTTTTTTGGGCTGCGGTCAAGAGTCTCTTCCATGCATGGACCCTTCCCTGCAGTGTGCGAGGTCAGATCGGTGTCACGTTGTTATTCTGCTGCACGAGTCAATCCCTGTCTGATTTGATTGTCTCTCTCTCCCAGTTTATGATTCTTGGACTTTGCATTGGAAACGGTTCACCAGGCATGCATCGTCCCGTTTCTTTCTCTTATGCTGCTACTGTTGCTGCTCATTGCTGGTTGTTGTCATCTTCAGTGTTGTTGCTCGTTACAATGTGGGCATGATATGGCTAGAGGGTTGTGTACAGAGAGTGTGAGGGAGAGTAACCTACCAGCTTCACCCGAATCTGTTCGCTGCATGTGGACTGAAAGGTGAGCCAAATACGGCTACGATGGCCATATCGTCTATTCGCGGGAAGACGGTAGTGTGTGTACGTAGAGTGGCAGAGTAGGGGGACACATCATGGTAGGGCTTCTACGTTGTTGTTGTATTGATTATCGGAGGTGAGAAGTGGGGCTATCTTTGTCAAGTGACGTCAGTGTTAGGTGTGCTCTTGGCTTTTGCACTTCTGCTTTCACCTCGGGTCACTCATGCTTGTTCTGCTCCGAGTCTTTTGTATGACAGAAATTGTGCTAACTTCTCGTTGATTGGTTGCTCGCATCAATGCGTTTTCCTAATTTTTTCATCAACACTTTCTGAGCACAAAAAAAAATCACCAAAGTCGGCACGCTCAACATTTTGCTAAAGCCTGATGACTGCCCGTGGCCAAGCTTACCTGCCTACCCTGGGGCTGCCTGTGGGCGCTGTTGGGGATCAAAGTCGTTGCCGGGGGCACTGGTGGTTCAATGGCCAGGCCCCAATGTTTATTTTCTCGCGCTCGGAATGTATTGGCTAGCCTGTAAAACTGGTCAGGTTCATGTTAGCTGCACATCACAAACATATAGCCCTGATGGGGCCGGGCCGTCCCTAACAGTTTGTGTGTATCTAAACTTCGAAAGCTTTGAATGCTAGGAATTTCCTGAGTCTGGCATCGTGAAACATCCACTGCTTGGAATTGTAGACGGTAGAAATTTTGAAATTTGGCATTATGAAACATCCAATGCTTTGAATCTCAAAAACTTTCTGAGTTTGGCATTATGAATCGTTGTGGAACTGGGAACGGAGCCTCGCTATCTAAGATTCTAAGGGTAAAAGAGTGTTTTGTGCGTGTCACATTGGGATGTGAATGTAGAGGGAGGTGAGACAGATTATAACATGGAATTGTTATTGAACGTGATGGGCAACTCCTTGTGAATTCCTGGGTTGGATATCTGCAGGGGAGGGTCTGCTATTCTTTACACTGGAGCAGGAAAAATGCACACAGAACTTGGACTCACCATTGATTATATTCTCGAGGAAGTGAATAAAACCACAACGAAGGTATGATGGGGTGCTCACTCTGCATTTTGAATAAAACCACAACGAAGGTATGATGGGGTGTTCACTGTGCATTTCAGGCAGCACTCTGCATCTCAGGCATAAACAAAGGAAGTGATGAAAATCTCTAGGTGCTTTCAGGTCTGTGATTGGCCTGCTCTCTTATGGAGCACAGTAGTCGATGCAAGTATACCATGGCCTACATTGAGATCTCCGGACACCCATCCAGATGATCCGCTACTCATTGCCTGGCAGATGCGTATCCAGAGTGAAGAACATCACACTGTGGTCGAAACAGACACATGGTCAGTGAAGGTCCAACAAAATGGTTTGGCACTGTCATCCTCTTTTTGTTGGGTTGTGTATAAAGAACCATACAGCACACTTGCCTTGAGTGGGTGTGTAGAGTGGGTTTATTAAACCTTATTTGTCATTGTGAACCACCCTGCAGATCCTTTTCTTGTTCCGTGAGTGCTCCCATCATTGAAGTTTATTTGTCCCCTTCCCCTGTCCATTCATCCCCCTTCCATCAGATCAAACAACCATTGTCCGCCTATTTTGTGCTAGCCTGACACGTTGAATGTCATACTCTGGTCTTGGCCACGGCCTGTACGATTGACCCCATCCCTCCATCACGCAGATGGGGGCATTCACCTATCCTTCGCTGGTAGATGGTTTGCTGGCCATGCTCCTTACGTAGTAGAGCTTGTCTGCCCCCTTTCCTGCTTCCTGTCCGTCCTACGTACGTTGCAATGACCCCTTCCCCCTCCATCATTTGCTCGACACATTTCAAATGATATAGTCTGGTCTTGATCTCACCCCATTCACGGTTGCGCCCATCCCCTCATCAGCAGGGTACAATCACTTTCCCATTCCTCGATGATAAGTGTCTCGCTAACCACGTTCATCTTTCCCATAAGCAGTCGAGCTATGTATAAAGCTGCACTCACTCTACTAGCAGATCTCCTATGCTGGCGTGTCACAGATCTATCCTGAAAGAGTGGAGATAATATTCCAGGTACATGGCGGAAAGAAGATGGGGCATAATGTGTCCGGATGTGTGTCTACTCCAGTAGCTGACTACTGATATCCACTAGAGGAGATGGTCGGGTGTAAAGGCTTACTGTTACCCTTTGGAAGTGCAAGGTCGAAGGGGAGATGGATGGGGCATGTGGTTCAAGGAAGAAGATGGCGAACAGGTGGGGGCAGCATTCATAGAGGATTAGACAGCAGAGCAGCAGACATGCAGAACCAAAAAGTAGGCAGTAGCTCGAGTACAGGGACGGTGTGGCTGTCCCTAAAACGTTTTTCACCATTGCCACCTGCAGGATCATCAGAAGGAGAATTACAGCCTGCACGCAGCTCAGTCGACATGCCAAGTATATACACTTCCACAAGGTCCGAGCCGAGGAGGAGACAGAAAGGAGTTCAAACTTAAAAGGACTGATATAGAGAGTTACACCGCTTCGTCGGCAGTGTGCTCTCCAGTGAGGTCCGCAGCCGGCAGATTGTCGAAGTCCAAATCCTCCATATCATGTCCACTTGTTTCGCTCTAATCAGCCTCCTCACACAAGCAATCCGCATGCAGTACTGAAAAGGGATAAACAGTGATGATGCGGGGGGTACATGTATGCAATGTGCCTCCGAGCATGTGCGTCGAGTTCCTCCCCATGTCTGGTGGTCCTTGTGCCGGTGACTGTAGTGAGTGGTACTACGGTGAGCGGGCTTGCTCATCCAGGCTACTCTATTAGTCTTTAGAGGATCAAGGTTCAACATTCATGTTTATATGCTTGTAAATTTTTTGTGCGATTTCCTTCTTTTGGCGCTTCATTTTTCTGGCTAGTCCAGAATCCTGCCTCCTGGCCGTGTTTCTCTGCCAGGTACCAGATTTTCTCTTTGTGATCTGTGGTAGTCTAGTTTTCCTAAGTCCTGGCAAGCTCATTTTCCAAATTGAATACTTACCGCAAATTTGATCCCATACCCCTTGTTTCTTTCGAGGACTCGTGACCGTATCTGTTCTGTGCCACAACTTGCTGCCTCGCCTCGATCCCTGGTCCTGTGGCTCCTCTTTCTTTGGTTGTCGGTAATTGAGTCCTTGAACCACCGACGTCACCAATCCACTCAGTTCCTGGATCTGGTTTTAATTTCTCTCTATGTTACAGCTAGGCCTTGATCCCTTGTTTGTCCGATCATTAACGTTTGCTCCCAGTCAGTCTGCAAGGTCAGGAAAACAGGTCGTGCGAGGTGCTTCCCCTGATTCACAGCCTCCCCCAAAACACCACCACCTATTCACTATGATCTGGGTTGCCGTAATCCCTTTGTACATGTATGTATATAGATGGGTGTGGGTATATTTAAGTGTATGTATATTCATGTGTGTGTGTGGGTGGGTGGGTGGGTGGGTGGGTGTGGGTGTGTGCGTGCGTGTTAGAGAGAGAGAGAGAGAGAGAGAGAGAGAGAGAGAGAGAGAGAGAGAGAGAGAG